CTACTACTACTACTACTACGACCGACGGTTGACTCTCAACAGCAGCCCAGACGCACGTACCGGGTGTTGACTTGCAAGGCACCCTGAATGCACGCACCGATGGTTGACTTGCACAGACACCCCAAAACGTACCGAATGTTGACTCTCGAAGCCTGCGAAAGTACTCGTACCCAGTGTTGGCCTGGAGCAGGCTACACGCACGTGCCGAGTGTTGATTCTGAACAGCACACAGCATGGAACCGCGGGGTTTTCTGAATCCACCGCAAGTGCAAGGTCAAATGCACGGCAATCCTCAGGACGTCTCTTCTACAAAAGCAGACGTCTTGGATGCGAAGCGAATTTCCAACACCAAAATGCGTACCTCGGCGGTCTTGGCGCTGAGGAGGGGCAGGTACCGATTGTCGACTTTCTAGACCTGCAGATATTTCTCGTACCGAACCCCAACACGTTCCGAAAGTGGACATCCTACGCCTGGTGAGATACTCCTACCGAGTGTTGACGGGAAGGACACCAAATGCGCGTACCGCGTGTTGACTTTTGAAGCGGATCGCACGACCGGACCCCTCCCCTCCCCACCCCAATGGTTCCATCCCCCTGTGGTGTGGTGTGGTTGTGGGTTGCCCTCTTTTATTCGCAGTTGCAAAAAGGTCCGTGTAAAAAAAAACGACCTGTTCCAGGTGGAAAACCGCGTTGCCAACCCCGCGGCATCGAAAGCATCGGGCGCTGCTGCTGTCACAGGTTGGCGATGCAGCGAGCTGTGCTTTCACGGCCCTCCCAACGAGCGCCGACACCCGGGTGCCGGACGCAGAGTACCGAGTCCAGCGACCGCGAGTTCGGCAACTTTCTCAGGGGCTGGCACCATGGGGCTTCCCCTGCTGGTGATAAGCGCGCGTTAGAATTGCGTTTTTCTCACCTTGATGCGGGCCTTCACCGTGTTTCCCACCTCCGCTGAACTGACGCTGCCTTCGCCATTGTTCCGCGTCCTGATACTGCGCCGGCTTCGTTTGCCACTGCCGGTCGCCCCGCGTATGTGCGCCTGCCGTGGTCGCCTCGACTCACTCGGCGATCACAGGGCTGCCTGCGCAACTTCCGGAGTGCTCGCCTCCCGGGCCCTCCCTCTTGAACGGGCCGCTGCGAGGGTCCTTTTGGCCGACATGAACATCGATGTGCCGGTCGCTAACGACCGCCGCATCGAAGTCGTCGAACCGACTTGCTCTCTGGCATGGCTCGCAGCAAGCCGTAGATGCCACCATCGTCAGCCCCATTACCAGGGCCGGTGACGCTCAACCGGGGTGCGGTCGTGCACCCTGGCCGCGCCGTCGATGGCGCCGCGCGGCGTCAACGCCGTCAGACTTGCCCTGAACTCGTGCGCGCGCGTCGCTGCTGCTTAGTTGTTGTGGGTGTCGAAGTCGGCGGCCGATTTGGCGCCAAGGCAGCCACCTGGCTCCGCCTGCTCGTTAGGCACCGGGCGTTAGAGGCGCCTGTGCAGCTTGGGTTGTTCGCTGGTCCGGCTTACTGGCAGTCGCAGCGCAGCGCGCCATCGCCGCGTCGCTGTCGGACCTCCCCCATGTAAGGGAGTGCAACCTTGCCGGGGACGCGCCTGAGCTGCATGAGGTCTTAGCCGATGTGCGCTGGCAGCTCCCTGTGCCTGGCATCCGCCAGGGACCCCGTTGAGGGCCTGGCGCGGGCGCCTCCGTAGGACACGGTAGCTAGCTTCTGTAGACGCGGACACTTGTTGGCAGGTGCGAAAAGGCGCGAAAAACAAATCCTTGCCTGCCCATGATTTCGTTTCCCAATTCCCGGATCATGGTTCTCCCAGCGAGTTTCGGGAAGGTTCCCATAGAATGCAGACTGCACGGGGACCGCGCTGGATCTTTTTCACGCTGTTGCAAAGAAAGGTCACGTTCCAAAGGTTCCTTCGGCTGCGCATCTCTTCCTCACGGCATTGCGAAGCGCAGGGCGTGGCGCAACGCCCGGACCGACGGGATGACAAATGAACGTTTGCGCGTCTTCCTTGGTGGTGAAGAGGATATGAAACTCGTGAGGGCACGGTGCCGCCCCTGGGTGACCTGCTGGCGGATGCCCGTGACGGGCAGTGCTCGCAAAACGTCTCCCCGCCCCATGATGCTCGCCCTTTTCGGCACGCGCAGCATGGAGCCCCCTTACAAATAACTTCTTTATTAGGGCTTAGCCTGCGCACACCGACTGCGAACGAAAGTGCAAAAAGGTCCGAGCAAGAAAATCGACGACATCTACTTCGTCGCGCGGCCGCGATGAACCAGGGAGCTGCACTCTGCGGTCGAGGATGCACTATGTCGGCAGCTCATCGTGCTGGGGATTCCGCTCGGCCGGGCCAAACGGCCAAGACCAGTTTTGGAAACATTTGGAAACCCTTCCTGGCATCCAGGATTTGCAGACAGCGGATGGTAGCGCGTATGTTTCTGCGCCATCACGCTGGAGTTGCCGCAACAAAACCATCCTGCCGCTTGCCCGCATGGTGATGCAACGGTTGCACCGTCATCCATGTGGGCGGCCCGACTGCCCGCGAAGTTCGGGAGCCTCAGTTTGCACGCAGATCACGCTGATTCAGGCTGACAGGCATGCGACTGGGCAGCTTGGCATCGCCACAGTCCGGCAGTCAGCAGCTTTCGTCCGAGGTCGGGGTTGCGCCACAGTGAGACACCCTCCGGGCGGCCCCCACGTTGGCCCCTCCACACCATGTGTGTTATGTCGACACATGTGGATGTCACCATCCGAGTGACCTCTTCCGCGTGTTACCTCTGCGCCGCATTCGCTTGCCGCTCCTTCAAGTGCCCCGCACTTGCAGTTGCCCGGGGGCACTTCGATGCTTTGGGAGACCACCGTGCCACGTGCTCTAGCTACGTCATGTTTGGTGCTTTCGCTGCCGTGATCCCCTCTTGACCGCGCTTCTGCCAGAGTTTCTTGCCGCAAAGCTGGAGCACGGGTGTCATTCAATGTGCATTTTGATGACATGAACCTGGATGTGCCCGAGCACGATGCACGACACATCGACATTGTCTACAATGGCTTGCAATTTTGGCATGGACACGAGCTTGCGCTTGATGCTACCGTCGTCCGCGTCGGGGCGTAATGGGGAGCGCTGGGATGGCTTTCACGGCCGGCCGTGCAGGTGTGGTGCTTGCCAATGCTGCCAGGTGGAATCGCCGACAAACACACCCGAAGCTTAATGCCGCGCCCCGGTGCAGCCTGGCCCCCTATAGTATTGTTTGGCATCGAAATCGAGGGTCGCTGGGCGCCTGAAACCGCCGACTTCGTCCGCTTGCTTGCGCTTGGGTCCTGTGTTGGAGCGGCATCATTGCCGTCGCTGCTCTGCATGCACTCGCCGCCTCGCTGCTGCACCTGCCCTTCGCCAACGAGGGCACTGGTGTTAGCTAGCTAGCTAGCTAGCTAGCTAGCTAGGCCGGTAGGTAGCTAGTTAGTCAAGTAGTTTTTCATGCCGGACCGTGCTGTGTGAAGGGGTTTACAGGATGCTCCGCTTCTCTGCCGACAACCGAAGGGCGCTGTCGCACGGGGACCGCATGAACGGAGAGTCGAAAATAGGGACGAGAAGAAAACGAAGTGTCCATAGCGAATTTACTTCCACGTGCATGCGTGTCAATTCGGCATGGCCATATGCAGTCGGATCAAGCAACATGTGCACACAGCTTTCAGCCCCGCGCGCCATGTAGCGATGCATGTTGTGGTATGACACGCGCCATGGTGAGACAGCATCATATCTCTGGCCCACCCACCAGAAGCACCCGTTGATGAAACGAGCACAACAACCGAATTTTGAGCCAGCGAGCATGAACGAACAATTTTGCACTGCAGCTGGCACATCAACAGCTTAAACATTTTTGTGCAAACCCTGCCTTGATGCCATGAGTGCTGTGAAGCTCTCGGTTCGCACGTTTCGACTGATCTTGTAGTTGTAATGGACCTTGCTCGACCTTGCAAACTTATAGTCTCACAGCCATGAACTGAGCTGTGCTCAGTTGTGCCTTGGCAGCTTCGAGGCCGTGCGCGAACGGAATCGACAAGTGAGCGGGGCATCAAACTACAAACGGGCGGTTTCTCAGCTGGAAATGGCCCAGCCTCTACACGTTGAGTAGCCGTTGAATTGCTTTTGTGGCAATTTTCGGGTTTTTCAGGCTCCCATATTCCACCGGGAGGCCTGCTGATGGAGTTTTCATTGCAAGCATCGTGCTGCGGATGAATGCTGTTAAGTACCATGGCTGTCCAGCACAGGACCACCGAATTTACATGTTGATATTGGCCTGGCACTGATTTCAGGTTGCATGGACGATGAGCATTGCCCCCCTGCCTGAGGCATTGGATTATGCCAATAGCAAGCAACGTTTGCCAAGCGTCAATGATGCCAAGCACATGGAGGAATTGGTCCCAAGCTCAGTGAAACAGGGAGCACTAGATGCGCACTGATTGGAAAGTTGGCCTTGAGTCATGGTGCTTATTCAACCAGGCGAAACAATGCGGAGTGCATGAAGTTTGAGGCTAAGTTGAAAAAATAAGCCCCAGAGACTGAGACAAAGCATCCCGTATGTCTCCGTGCATCATGGAGCATAAATTGACAAGGTCCTCACGTTGTACAACACCCAATGCACCAAAGATGCGGTGCGACGTGCCATCCGCAGCGCAGGGTGCATCCTGCGTTTTGCATTCAGCGCGTAAGAGTTGGACATGCTGCTGTCTGCATTTCGTGACTGTTGCTTGCTGTTTGGGCTCATGCAGCCGGCGGGGATCTCCGCCCAAACGGGATGAGAGTGGACCGCGTCCAACAGGCCGCCCGGATGAGCCTGCGCGGTGGTATGTTGGGCTACTATAAGCGGTGGCACAGGCATTCCTTCGTGTTTCCACAAGCTGTGCCAGGCTGACGACGGAAGCCTTTTCCAGCCATCGGTTTCCAGAGAGCGATCTGACGGATTGAAATGGCTGGCTCGGTGTTTGTTTCCACAAGCCCGAGGCAAATCTAATTACCAAACCCGCGTCAACATTGATTCGGCAGCAGATTCCATGGAGGCCTGGCGCGGTGTGTTCATGGATTTTGTAGTTTTACGTATCGGTGTACTGTAGGCTGTTGCGAGCTCCTTTTCAATTCCGGGTTACATCATCATGTCTGTATTTGGCGCGGTATGTGCAATTCTTGCACGTAGAGGCAAACGAAGCCAGAGGCCATACGCAGAGTGTGATGCTGCGGCCGCACGTGTGCCAGTGCTGTAAACCGATGCAAGATCCTGGTCGCATGTCGCACGTTGCGCTTCGCATGCTCTTCGTGTATCTTCGTGTTGCTTCACTGCAACTTGCCGGATGTGGCAGGCTTGGGATCTACCTACCTTGCCGGCGGGTGGAACAGCCGGGCAGCAAGTTCACGAAGCCGCATCACAACCCACGAGAGCAGAGAAGCCTTCGTCACCAAGCAGCATAGTCCTGCTTTCCCTTTCGCCATTGGCCAGCGCCTGGTCACCACCAGGGAGTGAGGGTGCCGCGACTCATGCATGTGCATCGTTGGGCCGAGGATCCGTTCTCCTTCAGCTGCTCAACCTGCGGATGCTGCTCCTGGACAGTAGTTTGGTCCGACTCGGCAGCGGTTCGCCCAAATAAAGTTCTGCTGGACAAGACATGGCTTTCTCTAAGGACATCAGCAGACGCAGGCAGACAGTGGATCAAGCTCTTGCGGAGCAGGGCTCGCAGCCCCAGCAGCTGCCCGCAGAATTGCTAGACGAGCTGGTTCCCGCTTCAAGCGTGGGTGAACTGCTCCCTCCTCTGCCTGCTAACGGGCATCAACGGCAGACTCCGGAGCAAGTTGTAGAAAACGAAGCGCCGGAAGGAAAGCGATTGGAGGCGTCGGTCATGCTTCCGTCTTTTGCCACAGGAGTGTTTGGTCGGACTTCATGCGCTCGTGCAGGACAATCTCGTGCTCCGCGAAAGGCCTGCATCTTTCCGGCGTGGCTTGACATCCACTTCTTCCTCCAGGCGTCGTTCTGTTTCCGGTGCTTATACACCAAGGGATGCTGTTTGACGCCTCGTTTCGGCAGGCCGACGACGGCAGGTGAAGAGCACCGCACTCAGCTCATGTTGGCCACCGATCACTTCAGCAAGCAGAAGTTCTCGCGACCGATCCTACCAGGTCAGCTGCTACGCAGGGTTCCCGCATATCAGGGAAATCGTCCTGGCGTTCGCAGTGGACTCCTGGGCAGGCACGACAGCTTGCAAGTCTTGGGAGTTTTGGGTTTTGCAATCCGTCTGTGAGGCCGAGACTGGAGACGTGGCTTCTTGATGGCATGATGATTGGTGTCGAAAGGTCTCCATCATTCATGCTACCTGGGCTATGCAGGTCTCAAGTACGACAAGTTTTGAGATGAGACATCAACCGCCGCCGCCGCCGCAGAGCGACCACAGAACTCTCAGTGGGCAGAGTGTGCCTTCGTTTGGTTATGGTACAAAGTTTCTTGTTGTGTGGTGGAACTGTCGCAAGGATATAGCGGTCACAAGCCATGCCGAGGCAACTGCATTCGACGACCCTGAATTTCTTGTAGCACTCAAGCGTGCAAGCGAGAGTTGCCAGCTTAACGTCTTGCTGTGGAGTTTGGGTATGACCCGCCAGGCAAAGTTGTTTCCTGACAGCGGGGCCCAGGTGACAATGCAAGATTTGCTGCACCTCCAGCACTTGGCCAGCGGAAATGGGGGAAACCAGCCGCGGGCCATGACGAGGCCTTCGAGCGAGAGTGTCAACATGCTTACGAATCAGTCAACATTGTGGGATGTAGGCGGCCGCCTCTGCAGCTACGGCTTCCTGTGCGGACCTGAGCTGGTATTGTGACTTCATGCAGAGATGCTGGATTGCACTGTGTTGGCAGAATCTTATGGGAAAAACTGAGCAATGGTCATCCCTTGGATGCTGTACATGTTTTCAGCAGGTGCAGCAACGGACGCGAACAGCGTCCAACAGCTTCGCTTTTGTCCCGTTGCAATCAGCAAAGCAAAGGACGAACTATGGGCACAACCCTGTGGAGGTAGGGCTTTCACAAATTGTGCAGCTTTAACAGCTCCTTGCCACCCTCCGGAAGCAAAGATTACTGATTACTGTCAACGACAACGGGCTGGCATGTGCAGCTAAGCGCGACACAAGGTCATGCAGTCGCCACCAGGCTGACGTTCCAGCGCAGGCGAAATACGAGGCGAACCTGGACATTTTTGGCAAACCCCTGAAACAAGACGTGGGCCCAACAGGGGAATACCCCAACAAAATTCCAGAAAGCGGGCCACTATTCCCAGACGTCATAAACCCCTGTACGAAACCTGTTTGTTCTCCCATAGATCCCTATGTATTTACGTTATTCCGAACCTACGCCAGGGCCTCAAGAGCCTTGCAACCGAAGCTAGAGCCTATACCATATCCCTATACTTGTAAACACGGCTATGGATGGGGTCTTGTCTGTACCTATAGTCAACATTTATCCTAACTGTGGTCTGCATTACCCGGCACAAGGTTCTTTTTCACAGTTGGACCCTTACCCGATATACCATCCGAGTATTCCCATCGACATGAGGTCCATGCAGCATGCGGGGCTTGGCTTGGCTTGGGCTTAACGGCAGCAGCCTTCGAAAGCGGCTTGGCTCGGCTTGGCTTGGCTTGGAACGGCTCGGTTCGGTTCGGCTTGGATTGGCTTGTCTTAACGGGTTCAAGGTTTGGCAACCAAGTCTCCATGTAGGGTTCAGGGTTTGGCAACATGCCCGTTCACGGTTTAGGGTTTGGCAACTACATTCCTTTCTGGGTTTGGGTTTTTCTCTTTGTTGCTCTCTGCCGTGCCATCCCCAAAGATTTGAGCAACCAGCTTAGGTTTTGGCAGCCAGCGTCTGATCTAAGCTTCGGCAACCAACGTTTCCTTTTGGGATCTTTTAGGGTTTAAGGTTTGGCAACAGTCCTGGATGCAAAAAAGGTATGGCAACCAACACTTAAACTGCTTCCGGGGTTTAGGATTTGGCAACCAACATTTCATTTCCTTTAGGGTTTACGGTTTGACAGCCAGGACCCTGTTTTGGGGTTTAGCAGTGTGCAGCCAACATGTGCCTTTTGTGGTTTAAAATTTAAAATCTGGCAACCAACATCTCCATTTGCGGTTTAGGGCTTGGCAACCAACTTTTTAGGGCGTAGCGTTTGGCTACCAACATCTGCCTTCGCGGTTTTGGATGTGGCAACCAACCTGTCCTTGTACGGTCTGTTGTTCAGCAGTCAACATCTGCATTTGAGGTGTTGGGTTTGGCCGCCCGCATTTGTGTTTGGGGTTTTGGATTGGCAACCAGTATCTAAACAAAAGCGACGGGTTCTCAAAGTTGCTTTGGTTGGCATGCTTCACAATGTTTAGGTTTAGGGTTTGACAACCAACATCTCCATTTAGGGTTTAGGGCTTGGCAACCAACTTTTTAGGGCGTAGCGTTTGGCTACCAACATGTCCTTGTACGGTCTATCGTTGGGCAGATAACATTTCCGTTTCAGGTTTCGGGTTTGGCAGCTCTGGCTTGGCAACCAAAATCTCCGTTTCGGGCTTGGGATATGGGTCAAGTAAGGGCTTGTCAACCAACATTTTAGGGTCTGGGGTTTAGGTTTCAAGGTTTGGCAACAGTGCGTTAGATCCGGCTTGAATTTGGTTTGATTTGAATTGGCTTCGCTGGGCTCGTCTTGGCTTGTCGGATTCAACCACCGACATCTTGGGTTGTGCAATCAGCATATATTGTAATGCCCACTGGGGCAACAAAGCAGATTTCATTTTTCCGTTTTGGTCTCGTTTTTTTTTTTAGGGTTCCGTTTTCGCTGCCGTTCCGTTTTCCGTCTTTTTTTCGGTGTCGTTCGGGCTTCCGTCGTCGATTTCGCTTCTGTCCAGCTTTTCCACGCGGAACCCTCCATTCATTTCCGTTCTCGGTGGGTGTCGGGTTTTAGGTTTGCTGTTCCGTTCAGGGTTTGGCGGGGTTGCCAGGCTTTTCCGTTTTGGTGGTTCCGTTCCGGGTTCCGTCTCCGAAGCTCCCAACCAAACGGAAGCCCAAACGAAAGTGCCCACGGGAATGGAAACCAGAACGGAGTAAACTTAGCAAAGTTAAACGGAAGGGAACACAAACAGAAGTGTAAACGGAAGGGGAACCACAAACGGATGTGTAAGCGGAAGGGAAGCCCCAAGCGGAACCGCGAACGGAAAGAAAGGAGGCTGCCGAGAATGGGCATCACGAGCATATCCGCAACCCGCATCACATATCCCTTTTTGGGTTTCGGGTTTGGCAAGCAACGTCTCCCCCATTTCGGGTTTTCGGTTTGGCAGCCAACACTTCCTTTTTACATCTTCAGGTTTGGGAACAACCAACATTTGAATTTTATTCTGTCGGGTTTGGCAGCCAACATTTCTTTTTGATTCTTTTTGCATCTTCAGGTTTGGAACAACCAACCTTTTGCTTTTATGGTTTCGGGTTTGGCAGCCAACATTTCTTTTTGCATCTTCAGGTTTGGAACAACCAACCTTTTGCTTTTATGGTTTCGGGCTTGGCAGCCAACATTTCTTTTTGCATCTTCAGGTTTGGAACGACCAACCTTTTGCTTTTATGGTTTCGGGTTTGGTAGCCACCATTTCTTTTTGCATCTCCAGGTTTGGAACAACCAACCTTTTGC